AACCTGAAGATCTGGACACTGTTGATTCTTATCGCTGTGTCCTGGGCGCTGAGAGATTTAACTCTGGGAGACATTATTGGGAAGTGGAGCTTAAGAACAAGACTATGTGGCACTTGGGGGTTTGTGCTGACTCAGAAAACAGGGAGAGGTACAAAAGTATAGCACCTGAAGGTGGATACTGGGCCATAAGATTGTGGAATGGAGAATGCAAAGCCCTCTCCACTCCTCGGACAACAATCACCTTGGAAATTAAACCCACGAGGGTTGGGATTTTTCTGGACTATGAAGCAGCAGAGCTCTCATTTTACAATTTGTCTGATGACTCCCATATCTACACTTTCAAATATATCTTCCCTGGGACACTCCGGCCTTTCTTCAGTCCAGATGTGTATGGATCTAAAGAGGATGCACCCCTGACCATCTGCCCAGTTATAGACTGGCAATGAAGGACACATTGATAAGATGTCTGATGATGGGGAAATATCAAGTCTAGCTGGTTGAAAATTGAGAGACAATGTTTTTTCTTCAGAAAATACCATTTCATCGATATCTGAACTTTCCATGGGAGTGTGTCGATTTCAACAAAACTTAGTTTAGAAAAAAAATTAAACAAAGCATTTCATTCATGTTGAAATTCCCCTTTTGATACTTACGGAACAAAACATTTTGTTTTTTGTTTCAAAATTACCTTTGTTTAACATTTTATTGTATATAATATAATAAAAGGAATAAAGGCAAAATTGAAACAATCTTTTATTTAAATATATTTCTACTAATCTTACCTGGTCCCAGTCAAGCCAGAGATTCTTTTTCTGGATCCGGGTTCTGCACATGGGACAGCACAAAGGGTCATAGTCCCCCTCTGTCCATGTGTCACAGTGCTGAGAGATGCAGCCCCGGCAGAAGTCGTGCCCACAGTCTACACTCACTGGCTCCGTGAAATAGACTCTGCAGATGGTACATTTGGTTTCCTCTTGGAGTCCCTGTTCAGAAGTCCCTGAAGCCATGGCTGCTAGGAGCTGGGCTTCCATTATCTCTGCCTTCTGCTCCAAATCAGAAGTGATTTTGCTGATAATGGAAGGTCCCTGCCTGACCTGCTATCAGCTGCTCTCCAGCACAGGAGCAGAAGGTGCAGAAAAAGAAGGGGGTGGGAGAAGAAATAGAGAAAAGATCAGAAAATAAGGAAGTTTGACCTACATAGGATGAGGAGGAGAAGGAATGGGAGGAGAAGGGGATAGAGAAATAAAAAGGGAATGGAAAGAAAAGGCGGAGGGAGGATAAAGTGGGTGATGAATACAAAA